CACTTCATTGGATGCATGGAGTGGAAAATACAGTAGGAAGATATATATACACAGAGGACATGAAAAAATGGGTGTCGCCATACTAACTATAATGAGAGAAAGCTTATGCTCAAATAAATTTGTTAGTCTCTAAGGTGCCACAAGTACTCCTCGTTCTTTTTGCTGATACAGACTAACATGACTCCCATTCTGAAACCTGATTGTTATTATAGTGAGCAATGGTGCTTCCAGCTTCAAATCACTCCTACTTGAATTCTACATATTTTGGATTTTATGTGGTCTTTGGAAGAAAGTATTTTCTTTGATCTAGACCTCTTTTCAGCAGAAAATGGCTGGCAACATTAGTTCATTACTCAGCTTTGTCTGTGCAAGACTGATAAAACCTTTATGGAGAGGTACATTTGTTACCTGATACTTTATTTTCTGGGAATGACCCGACCCCTAACCCAAGCTTGGTCGTGCTGTCTCACGCTTCTTAGAATATTGGAGGCAGTTCAGACTTGTCCAGGGGTCTATTGGCTGTGCCCCATATCCACATGAGTACTCCCAAAGCTGTAAGGAAACATTCCATTCTTATTAGTAGATTATATATAATGTTTTAGGTAGTAATGCTTTTTAATCTGAAGAGATCACTTCACAGATACCTGAAGAACTTGTCTTAGGTGGGGAAGGCTAAGCAAGTGGTTAGTCCAGAAAAGAAACAATACTACTTTATTCACATTTACAGGTAATACATTTTCCATTCTGGATCCTGACCTCTCTCCCAGTCTCTAGATGAAGGCAATCCAGGGCCCTAGAGACACCATTATATGGGGCTGCTGTGACCTTGCCCCCACGTGGAATTGTAGAGAAAAACTACATAACAGGTACCTGCTGGACTGGTAGGTGGCCAGACACCACTTCTCTATGGGCAGCCTAGGGTTCTCGTCCTCCCAGGACAGGCAGTGGCAACAGCTGGGAGGAGACACTTCCCCCTGGAGTAGGAGCTGAGTCCCCATTCCTCTCAAGAGCAGCAGGGGCAGTGGCAGAAGGATTCCCCTTGCTTTCCAGAGAGGCAAAGGCCTTGCATGGGGCTCCTTCTCTCTGGGAGAAGGAGCAGAGTCCCTCTCCCTGCAAGCCAATAGGCATCTACTTCTTTCATCCTGCAAAGGACAAGAGTGGCAACAGGGGGTCATTACATACTTACCCGAAGAGCCGGGGTGTATCTGCTTCAGTGAATGTTTGGTGAGCCAGGCCACACACAGTGCCCCTTTCAGGCTGGCCTTAGAGTTCACACCCCATTGAGAGGCAGGGGCAGTTCATATGTCTCAGAGCTATTGTTTCAGGCAGCGTGCATACAGAGGCAGACATCACTCTGGTAACACCTGGATCACCTTCTCAAACTTTCTGTGCAACTACGAGGGCTAGAAACTTACTTTTTTCATGAAAGCTTCGGTTCTGATGTAATAACATCGCTCCAGGAGAGTGGGTCTTGACACTGTCATGTTCACATCTGTAGAGCTTTATACACGTTCATAGATGGCCAAGTGGTAGGTTTGCAGATTTCCTCTGTAGTGGCTGCCACCCTTTTTGCCTAGGAGGCTGTTGTGCAATGCATTGAGTGGGCTCTGCATCCTTGTGGAATTGGTTTATCATTGACTGAGTGTGCTTCGGTGATACAGCTTTTTATCCACCTAGCTACAGAGGATTTGGATGCTTTCAGGCCCATGCATTTAGGGCCTGATATTTGGATCAGGTGCTTAGGTGCAAGCACAGGAATCAGGAACCCATTTATGTGAGTTCTTTCCCCTCTACTTTCCAAGAACAGTTCTTGACTGTTAAGTGTCCTGAGACAAAAAACTGCTGTGCTGGATTTGGCCTCTACTGTGAGGTAATTAAGAAAGAATCATGTAGCTAATAAAACATGTATCTAGAACTACTTGGGAGTGCTTATTCCATTCTCATTGGCAGGGTGGGATTTGGAGCTAATCAACCCACGTATTTTACTGGAAATGGAGAAGTAGATTGTTAGCTGAAGACTGTAATATGGGAAAGTAATGACAAGAGCACCCTGAAGCAATCATATCCTGACTAACTCTGACAGCCTCCAATGAAGTACAGTGTTAGAAAATGTTTTGCAGAAGACCATAGAGCATACCCCCATATAATGCAACTCAAATTACTGTTGATTAAAAGGCTTTCAGTTTTGATTTTTTTTAATTTGTAGATCAGAAGGATTAAATTGATGAAATAACAGCTAATAACACCGATCTGATTGAATTATCCTTGTTATATGAAAATAATAGTGTCTTGTTATTGAAGAATATAAAGTATTAAGTAAATCAGATACATAAATCAATCTGTGCAATCAGCAAACATTTTGAAAGGCCTGTGGTATGTCCCTGTCTGTCCTGCAAAGATTTTTTTTTTGTATTACATTTTTTTTTGGCATGTGGAGATCACAAAAATCACAAATTCACAGTGTAGAAAATGTGTTAGAAATAAATTGGAAAATAACAGCTGATTTACCAAAACTGATGTTTCTTTAGAGTTCAGAATTTTAGTTTTAAAAAAAATTGGTTTTCAGCATCAGAGCCTTTGCTTTGTGAACTACAGTAAAACCTCACAAACTTACGTTTCACTGATCCAAACATCTTATGACTCTCACACAAATCCTGGCATTCTAGCCCTACTTCTCAGCAAAGATTTAATAGCACAGTGCTGTAGTGGGGTTGTGTGTTATTAGGGTCTCCTTTCACAAAATATACTACAGTATATTCACTACTTACTATCAAATTAATAATAAATTAAAATGACACTAAAAATGTCAACGCAATGTACAAAATACTGTGTGTGATGCAGTATCCTTGCTTTTTAAATTGTTTAATCATTAACAGTCTAGTTCACATCAGCTTTCATTAGTGTGAATTAGCGAGGTTCTACTGTATAATAAATAATCTTGTAATAAAAAGCTTAGAAATATTTCCATCTATGTGTTTGAGGCCAGCAAGATGAGCTAATTTTCACTGTCTGATTTGCTGGAAGATTTCTTAAAGTATTCCACTGTGAGAGTGGACCCCTTCTGGCTCGGGATAGCAGGCAGGACACGGCTTGTTCTGAGAGAGTCCCCCGATAGAACTGGTAAGAAGGAATGCAGTGAATGACTTTGAGAAAGTCCTCCTCTCTGGGATTTGGAGGTAAGTGCTGGTGGGAGTATAGATGTGCCAGTCCTTAAGGAGTTTAAAGACAGAGACTTTGACTTCTTGACACCCTGAGAAACTTCAGTAGGTGGTAGCTGGACTGAGGGGAAAAAAGAGAAAAAGAGTGCCCAGAAAGTCAGAAACAAATTCTATAATGTGTCAGTTTGTCACTTTCTTATTCTTGTACGTTTATCTTGTATCATGTGCACTTAAATTGAACCCATGAAACTTAGGGTAGGTCTACACTTACCTCCGGGACTGGCGGTAAGCAATCGATCTTCTGGGATCGATTCCGGAAGTGCTCGCCGTCGACGCCGGTACTCCAGCTTGGCGAGAGGAGTACGCGGCATCGACGGGGGAGCCTGCCTGCCGCATCTGGACCCGCGGTAAGTTCGAATTAAGGTACTTCGAATTCAGCTACGTTATTAACATAGCTGAATTTGCGTACCTTAGTTCGAAGTGGGGGGGTTAGTGTGAGCCAGGCCTTAGAAACAGTATAAAAAACGAGCAAAGAATTACTAAAGTAATTTAAAGCATAACCTGGCAGAACTAATCATGAGTGGAAATACTTTTCTTTGTGATAAAACAATGCCAATGACAGATGATTTACAAGGAGTTTTCCGTGCTCTGTGAGCCTGCATAGCTTCACTTTTGATAATCACTGAAACACATGGATACATATCCAAAACTTATCTGAACATGAATCTTCATGACTCCCTCCCTTCCTTTGATAGTTCTTCAATTCTTTGCTCCTTCCTCGCAACCCACCTGATCGGGATTTTCTTTGAACAAGTTTAAAATAAATTTTACAAGCCAACAAGGAGGAGATTCTCCTCTCTTAATCTGATGTAAATCTGGTGTAATACCACTGAAAACAATGGAATTAATCTAGATGTAGATTGATTGACTGGGGTCACCAAATGAAATTAATAGGCGGCAGGTTTAAAACAAACAAAAGGAAGTATTTCTTCACACAACACACAGTCAACTTGTGGAACTCTTTGCCAGAGGATGTTGTGAAGGCCAAGACTATTGCAGGGTTCAAAAAAGAACTAGATAAATTCATAGAGGATGGGGCCATCAATGGCTATTAGCCATGATGGGCAGGAATGGGGTGTCTAGCCTCTGTTTGCCAGAAGCTGGGAATGTGTAACAGGACATGCATCACTTGATGATTACCTGTTCTGTTCATTCCCTCTGGGGCACCTGGGACTGACCACTGTTGGAAGATAGGATACTGGGCTTCGTGGACCTTTGGTCTGATCCAGTATAGCCATTCTAATTATTTAACAGAGGAGAATTTGGAGCAATTGTTGTTAGAATCAACAGGTCACATCCTTAGCTGGTGTCAGTTGAGTATCTTCACTGAAGTCAATAGAGCTATGGCAATTTATGTCCACTGAGGATCTTGTCCTACAAGTCCACTTTAAACAATCTTTGAATTTACCTGTTAAGAGTAGATTTGCTGTATATGAAACACTGTAGAATCCATATTTACTGATTAATTGTACCTTTAGAAAGAACAGCAGATCAAAAAATGTGCAGACAAAAGAGTGGCCTGTTTGTTACACATCTAAATCTATTGCACTTTTAAAAAAATGTTTATTTAGGATATTTTAATAGGTTTACAAATCCTAGCCATATAAATATTAGAGACAATACAATAAATGTTACGACAGTGAGCTTTGGTTTGGCAAAACATGTTATTGTTGGATCTCTCTACTTAACATTGTAACATGCATCACACACACTGAGTGAGCATCTTTACACTATCCATGACATATTGTTTCTAGTGATTTATTGAATTATATTTAACAAAACAGGCATGTCTACTGAATGTTAATAAAAAAAAATTATCTGGTGTGCTTTTTTTGTAGAGGTGAATGTACTTTGAGTATTGAATAAATGGTAACCAATACCATGGGAAAGTGAGCCAGTTAAAGCTAGTTTTGAGTTCTAATTAAATTAGAAAAGCTTTTTTGATGAATAGCTGGTCAACTGTTTGTACTCCATGGCCTTTTCAGTCTTCAGACTTTCTGATTCATAATTTGGGTAAAAACCTGGAATGTTTTCAATGGGGGAAAAGGGCTTTATTTTATCTTTAGCTCTATCCCAACCTATAGAGGAGTCTTCACTTAAGGATGAGTATAAATTTCTGGAGGGCGTGTTTTTGTTTTTTAATTGGTCCATGGTAGCCCAGCAATGTTTATACTGCTCCAATTTTCTTGTTAAGTAAAAGACCCGGTGTTTGGCTGGGTTAGAGTGCTCTCAATCTACTACTGCTTTGAGTGGGCTGGCTTGCTAGTGCCACAGAATATTTCTAATAGCTAATCCACCTTGTTCAATGGGTTGAAAGAAAGTATCTGCACTCACATTTGATCTTTTCTTATTCCATATAAATTCTAACACCATCCTCTGTATTTCTGCTAGGCTTTTTATCCAGGATGACTACAGGAAGACTTTGAAAAAAGAAAGATATCCTTGGCAAAATGTTCATTTTGACTGTGACTACTTCTCCCAACCAAGAAATGGCATACTTTCCCCAGCACTCCAGATCTCTTTTCATTTGCTGAAGTAGAGATTTTATATTTAAATTATAAAGCTCTTCTAGAGATGTGAATTCCCAGATATCTTTGTGAGTCTTTCTTTGGGTGCCCAAAATCATAAGCCACTGTTACCCCACTACTTCAGTGAGCGAGAGCTTTACTGGAGCTTAAACTGCATGTGTCCACTCCTTGCCACACCATTCTGCCTGTCTCACCAGCAAACTCCTTGAGACTCTGCCAGTCTTAAACTTGTGTGATAGGTGGCGCTCACTGGCAGTGCCACTAAGTGGTTAGGATGATAGGTCTCTACTTGCCCCAGTTCCAATGTCTCTCACTGGCTACGGTCATGTCCTCTGGTGGTCTGCTTCTGCTGGGTGTCCACTCGACCCTCTGGTCAGGTCATCCATAGCTGTAGATCATCCAGGGGACTGGGCTTGGCATTCAGTACCCCAGAGGGCACCCCCCTCGCTGGGCTCATAGATCTGTAGTCTGTGATACTCTGGAATGAGCATATTGAGGCCTCAGTGTTCCAGTGGCCAGGCATGTGGTCACCATATAATTTTCTGACAGCCTTATTGCATCAGTTGATGTCTCAGGCCTATGTCACAACACTCACCCATGTCTGCCAGCTGGGAGAATCTGCGTGAATTGCTTGAGCAAGACCTGCTCAACTGCAGCCACAGCCAACAATGTTCTTTAAGGCTCTGAGCCACTGCTTGAGGCTGGGATCCCGGTGGAAAGTGCTGCTGGTGGGTCTCAGCCATGATATCAAAGATGTCTAAAATGGCTGCCTTGACCCATGCATAGTCTTGCACATCTATGGCATTGAGGCTCTGATATGCTGCTTGAGTTGTCCCGGTAAGATAAGGTGCCCGCAAAACAGCCCAGAGTTCAGATGGCCATTGAGCTGCTGCCATGATCTTCTCAAAACTAGTAAGGAAAGCATCAGAGTTGTCCCCAGACATCTTACCAGAAGATTTGGGGTTGGGGCAGGGTTTGGGGTCCTGGACGCAAGATTTGCGCTTGCCCCTGGTGGTTGTGAAAGGGTCACCACCTGCTGGACCAGGTGGTGTTGCTGCTCTAACTGTTGTGCCATCAGCTCCTGGTTGAGCTGCTGCTGCTGTCATTGTGGTGCTTACTGCTGTTGCTGGGTAGCCATTTAAGTTGGAACATCTGGTTCTGTTAATGCTGGCTGTCCATCAGCCACCTCAACAGTTTGTCTATATCCATGATTTTTTCTTTCTTTCTTTCAAGGCTTTACTGCAGACCTGTGATGAGTGCCCGCCTTTTCCACCAAGTTGTGAAGGGTGGCTCACTGGTGATGTTGCCTAGTGGTTAAGATACTAGGCCTTTACTTACCTCACCTCCAAAATCTCCCACTGGCTACTGTCATGTCCTGGAGAGGCCTGCCTTTTGGTGGGTGTTGACCTGACCTTCTGAGGTCAACACATCCAGAGGAGCATTCACTCATTTCTTAAGAGGACAGCACTAATCTCAACATTTGCAGATTGTTATTCACCTAAGTGAAATTCACACCAGTGCAAAGGGTCTGCAGAAGGCCCTAAACACCAAGAAAGACCCACTTAAACCCTTAACTAAAAGTGTAAGTGGTTTAGAGAACCTTGCACAGGCCTGCTGCGCTGTGGTGATTTCACCACCAAGCATCAGAAGCCACTACATAGTAACATTCTTTCAAACAGTCAAGATGAGGTGGCCAGAAGTCAAGCCCTGTTTGTCTGTCGGATCCTGAATAATGCAAACCTCCCTCTAGGACAGTGGATTTCAAACTTTTTTTCTGGGGACCCAGTTGAAGAAAATTGTTGATGCCCATGACCCAATGGACCTGGTGATAAGGGGTTTGGGGTGTGGGAGGGGCTCAAGGCTCAGGGCTAGGGCAGAGGATTGGGGTGAGGGCTGCAGGGTGGGGCCGGGAATGA